ATCCCTATTATCCTAGGTTTTTTTAAGTTTGGATAATCTTTAATTAAAAATTACTGCTTTAAAAATATTTCGTAAAATTTAAAATTTATTTCAAATGAAATTAGAAGTTTAATAAGTTAGCTTTCTAAGTTGTGAAAATAAATTTTTAGTAGATTGAAATGACAGATAAAATGGTTTATTTGAAACAGTATTAATATTTCTAAAGTATTTAATAAATACTTAAAAAATTTATGACCTATTTCAAATAGACAATTGAATTGAATGATTAATTTATTGAAGAAAACATATTTTTTATTTGTAATGTAAAAAATGTGATTTAAAATTATTAATAAGTTTAATAATTAAATCAATTATTCTATATATACACGTATACTGTAATATACGTATAATGTATATAATATATATATATGTATGTATATATATATAAGTTGATAAAGATTTTATTATTTATATATTTTTATATTTATAATTTTACGATTCTTTATATATTACATTTTAATAAATATGTTCCTATATTTATAATGAGACTTCCTAACCAATTTAAACGACGTATTAAAGTATTATTTCTAACTAAAAAAAAAGATTTGATTTTTATATACTTTATTTATGCGGTATTTATAAAGTGGAAAGTTCTATCGATTTCATGAGAAAAATTACAACGAAGTAAATTAAATTTAATTATTACTGAAATTATTAATAAATTTGTCTCTTTTTCCTAAACAGTAATGGAAATTTAAACAATGTCTATTGCTTTATATATAGTCTAAAAATTTGTAGATATATAAATGTATAATAGATTCAAAGAAGAAAAATAAAATTTATTCAATTCTACTACAAAAATTGTTTAGCTGTGGCCACACCGTAATTCTGTTTTTAACATATCTTATTAGCACTCACTGCTTTTCACTTCAACTCGAAATTCATTGAAAGACGAGCGATTCACAGAAAGAAAGACAGTCGGTAATTCCTGGAAGTCACCTACCCAGGTAGTTACAGATATAACGCATCAACCAATCACAATTAAATGGGTAATGTTGTATGGGTACTGTTATTGTTGTATGTGTTTACTTTCATTACTTATTTTTTCTTAATATTTTACAATATATTTTAAGAGCTTCACAATTTTTTGTTTAGTCTCATATAACTTAAAATAACATATTTCTATCATATAGAAAAATAGGGTAATATATACGAATGTTAAATATTATATTAAATGGCGTTAACGTTTAAAATGTTGCATAAGTTGTTCACATGCTATATTTTCTGTCACGGATAAACACTGCTTTAATTAAGATTCCGTCCTGCACACGGTAATATAAACTTCTGGTTCAGGGCACTTCTATACTGAAAGCATTGACGAAACCGTCTGTTTTTTGAATCGAAGATCAGATGGAGAGGAAAGAAAGGTGTCGTCCTACGCATGCATGATACGTACATATTACATAGATACTATAAATGTCTCAAAGACGATCATGTAAGCAGGTCTCGACACTCATGTACTAAAACCTAGAGAAAACCGACCGAAAATTCAATCGTGACTAGTTGCGAAAAATCAACATGGAAAGCAAGAAAGTTCTCGTTCTGCGCATGCGTGATATGCTATAAGTGTCAGATAGAGACACTCTTTGTCTGCCTCGCAAGAACGAGAACTTTATTGTCTTCAATGTTGGTTTTTTAGCACTTAATTTTCGGACGGTTTTCCCAACCCGGTGTTGAGACCTGTTTATACGATCATACATACGATCATTCATCAGTTCTCACCTGTGGTCAATGTCGCAGAACGAGATCTTTTCTTGCTCTCCATCATGATTTCTTCGGCTCAATAGACAGACTAGTTTCCCCTAGCGAGAGTCCAGATTTGTTTATATGACCATAGTCCTGCAATCTATATTCAACAGGCAGCAATTAAATTAATCAAAGAAGATAGAACGACTTTTACATGTAATAAGCCATATAGTAAATGGATACCTATATTGTATGTGTAATCAGGAGTCGATTAAACAAAATATTCTAGAAATATATAAGTGTCATGTATTTTTTACATTTTTCGAAAAGCACTTCTTTTTCTTCAAAATAAAGTTTTGTTAATATACAATTATATAATATATTATTATATAAATATATTTAAACTGATTTAAAAATTAATTTTAACTGTAAATATAAATATTGTTTTACATGCAAGAATATATAACTTTAAAAAAATAGCTGTAAATCTCTCAGTCTTATAAGTAAATATAAAAGTAAAATAATTTTCATTTCTACAATGAAGAAATGTTACCTGAGAAATATACAATACTATAAATCAGCAAGATCCTATAGCTGTACTTTTATAAAGAAACTAAAACATATATTAAGCCAACCAAAATTGGAATTGTGCATTGAAAAATCATAATATATAAAAGATAACATGTAGTTTGTCATTATATGTGCTCCTTTATAGTGAGAAATTACTATTTAAAGTTTTAAATACTAAGTACTATTTAAATACATTGTAGGAAGTTTTTTACTAATACACCATTTTCTCTTTTTTATCAGTAATATATGTCTATTATGATTGCTATAAATTCTTATTAAGCAAAAAGACTTATATTTTCTATACACTATACGTGTATTCTATTAGTTACGTTAATTCCCAATTGTACTATCAATGTGAACACAGCAATTATGTTCTTAATTCTGTAAAAAATATGATTTTATTTTGTTATACATTTTGAACGATATAAACATAACCTTCTTCAGGCGTTAAAGTCTCAAAATTAATTGGTAACTTTGAGATTTTGTAATGTAATGGATGTTTCTAAAAACCAGCAGAGATACAAACATTACACATGCCTGTGTTTTTCAGTAATGGGACAAAGAAGATTTAGAGTTTCGGTAATTTATAATGCTATTTTTATTATGCTACTATTATTTATTTGGTTACCTGCTATGTATATATAGCGTTTCATTGTAAATCACTTTATTAACATTTTTTTTATTTCTTTATGATATACATACACAGTATTGAGAGATATAAATTTATACATACGGTAAAACTGATATTTATATGTAATTTAACAATTATTGGATAATTTACTAATCATCACTTTGAGATGGGTGTTCTTATTGCTTCTCCGGAAGCAGGAGATGCATCAATTAACATTATACCGCAAATGAAGAAACATTCTGCTATTTCTGGAGAACCTGCTACAAGTTTCGTTTCCACAATACCAGAAAGAAATGCTACTAATCAAACTGCTCTAATGGGTGTATCGAATTATAATACCACTAATAGTATGAGTAAAGATGCATACAGACACACAGTTTTAATGGAAAATAATGTTTTTGATAAGATGTGCAATTCCACAATTAATGATACCTGCCAATTCCCCTATTATAGGTTACACCTGTTATTATATTTTGTTTATATTTAACTATTTACTTTAATTGTTAGGTACATATATAACTAATGCCTATAAATATATATGTATATAATATAAATATATATATATATATTTATTTATTTATTTATAGGAGCAATAGAAGTGACAGCAAATACTCTGATGCAGTGTTAGTAAAAGATGTAGGTGTATCATGTATGCTTTTAAAGCAGAATACGTTTGAAATACAACTTCCTCAAACAAAAACTCTGATTAAGCATCTTAAGAAAGAATACAATGATTTAACTGACATTGCAAATAGAATAACTACATATACAAAAGATATATTAAGTCATTTACCAAAGAAAAATCAAAGAAAGCATCAGCTTCTTAAAAATTTGGTATGTAATTTGTAAATACTTTGTTATATAATTTATAATTCTTATATACACTTAATAAAAGTAATATACACAAAATATACATAAAACTCTTATATAAGCAATAATGTGTGTATATAACTATTTTTGTATTAGATTTTTTTTTAATATAACTTAACTGTCTTAACTTGTGAATGTTTAATTCATATAAAATACAGAAAAATAATTTATATATGTCATTATATTTTATAGGCTGCTTCAAAACATGCAATAGCATCTCAGTATGTAGATAGTAAAGGTAATCTCTGTTTAAAATTGAGACTTTTTAGTAATGCTGAAACCCAGTGTATGACTGAGCAAGTTGTTAAGGATTTTGACAATACATTATGCAAAAGCAAATATATTACGAAGGAATTGCACAGTAAAAATTGTAATTATTACAATTATTTTGTAACAAATTTAAACAAAAATAAAAGTTTTATGCATATGTATGTAGCAAAAACACGAATCTTGGATAAAGGTCACCCAACACTTGAAGAGAGAAATATGAAATTAAAATATGAACATGACACGTCCATTCAGCGAAGGAATGTGGAAACAAACACTCCAAATTCAGCATCATCTAGTATTTCTTCAATTTGTAATCATTTAATGATGAGAAAGAAAAAAACATCAAAAGAATTGTTAACCCCCAAATTAGAAAAACGTGATGACATACATAAACATGGCATAGTTGAAAGATTCAGTGATGATAAACACTACACAAATCAGTTAAAGTTAAAAAACCATAGTCCAGTTACATTTACTAATTGGAAAGAAATTTCAAAATCGAAACAATCCAAAAATAAAACATTGTCTATCTTTCCTTATGAATCACAACAAATGGTTTGTTCAATAATATAATTTTGGAAACGAAACTTGTAACGTGATTATAATTTATAATTATCACTTTCTAATTACAGGTTAACGCGAAAAACAAAATTAAACAAGGAGAATTTATTAACTATAACACAGTTAACAATATATCGAATACAAAGTTTCATACAGTTAATATCCGAATTGTGAAAAAAAGTAAAAAAAATGTATAACTTGTCTATTTTTCATATCTCGATATATTCCTATATAATAAATATTTTTATACTATTTTAAATTTGTTCTACCTCCTCTAATTTTAGTACTTTTAATTAATTTTTATTTATTTTTACATTTAGTAAATATTACTCTTTAATATTTTTTGCGTAGTTATTATCTGTTTTTGTATATGTATACACTATGCATATAAATATAGATATTTTGCAAAGCGATAGTTTGGTGGATGTAATAGTGCAAAATGTATTTAAATCTTATCAAGTAAAAAGAAACATACGAGTATTTATAATATGTAATGTACAGAAAAATGTACGTTATCAGAACGGAAAAACTGTAATTTAAGTACAGACATTTTTGAAGAAACTGAAACACTTGATACAGAAAGATAGGTTATGTTTTTGCACGTTAAAACGCATTATGATTTATGCTTCAACAATTTTCTAACGATATTCTAATCTTTTCCATTACTCTATTAATAAAAACAAACAGCATGATTTCTGATGAATATAAACAACACAATACATGGAATAACATAAAAATAAATAATGATATTTACATGGTTTCTGTTACACAAAAAGATGACATAATTAAAGTTTTCCTAACTAATCTTATTGAAATATGGATTGATACATTGACAAAAGAAATTATTTTGGATAGATGTCGGGTAATTATATATCTATGCAATATGTACTTTATAACATTATATTACATTCTGAGTAATTTTAATGTATTATTTATTATGAAACAAGATGAATTAAATTCCATTTAATTGTTTCTTTTAGAAGTTAAATCGACTTTTAAATATTGAAGCTCTTGATTATAATGACATTATATTAAATATTTTGAACGATATGTCAAAATATATTATCAATGCAACTGTGGAACATATCGAGTTGCAAGTTCAAGTAGAACGTTGTTTAATGAAATTTGAACTAAATTTAACAAAAGGAACATCAGAAGATTTTTGGGATTTTGTAACTAAACCTCTATGTATATCATCGATGGAAATTATTCATCAGCACAAATTTCTTTTAGATTTAATGAGAAGGAAAGATGAAGAAATTGCTGAATATAAAGCAGAAGGTGCAAAATTAATAAGAAGTATGTTTCTTTTGACATATTATGTTAAAAATATAATTTTAATATAAGATTTCATGCTTTGTTAACTGATACAGAGAATATTGAAACAAAACCTTTTAAAGAGGAACAGTTCGAAATAACTATTTCTAATCCAAGTATTATTGACTGCACAAATGCATTCCAAACCATGGTGAATTTTTATAATAAACTTAATTTATACAAACGTAGTACAATTCCTAGAGAATCTACAAGGTATTACTGAGCAAAACATTATTTCTTTACAGAAAATTTAAAAAGTTGCAATAAAAGTTTATCTAACTTCTGATACATTACAGCAGTAGCAGCATTAATGATGCTGATGACATGCACAAAATGGAGCAGAATATTATTAGTTCTGTTCAGAATGACGATAACAGTATGTATAAACATGAGGATACTTTTATACACAAGAGCACAGAATGTATACATTCTGAAAATAAACAGCAAGACAAAGATACAACTAACAAGAAAATAATTAAGAATAAAACAGGAACCACAAATATGGTACATAGGCCTAAAAAGTTAAAAAAAGGTTTGAATGATTTTATATTGTGAAGTATAACTATCTAAAATATAAGAAAATATTTTAAATACATATAATATTCAGAGGAAAGGCTAATTAATAAGGATTGTTATTTAGAATACTTTTCCCCTCCTACATTTATTAGCTTAAACAATAATTAAAACAAAATTAGAAAAGATTAATTATAGTAAAAATCTTGATATATATATGTGTGTATAATAAATATATACAAAATGGAGTACCTATAATAGATTAATTTGTTCAAAACCAACGACGTACCATGTACGTCCTAAAATTCTGGGCTATTTGCACAATACGACCAGTGATGCATCATATACACTTTATAATGAAATTAATGTTATCATTAAGTATTTAAAACGCTATTAAAGAGAGGTAACACCATGTCGAAAGGACAACCAGGAACATAGAGATTTATAGACACAATGAAAATGCCCTTCCACTAAAAGATAAATGAAAGAAGTAAGAAATCATCATAGGAAATAATGATAATGATGATGATGATAATATGCAAGACAGCAATGTAAATTACAATAAAATTGATAGTGAAAGTAGCAGAATGACATTAGGACAAGATAATGGAGGTGATGAAAACTTTCGTCTGAATATTATTGATAATATTTGTTTGAAAATTACTAGAAAAATATATGTCTTATTTCACTAGAACCTGAACATCTACCTGAAATGTTACCCAGACGAGAAAATAAAAAGATAAAACGGAAAAGGTGTCGACAATGCACTGTCAATGGTTTACGGAAAGAAACTAATTACTACTGTTCTGGCTGTAGAGATAATCCTGGTTTGTGTTTAGGCAAATGTTTTAAGGAATATCATAAACTTACATGATATTTAACATTAATTTATAGGTTTTAACTCTACTTATTACTTTTACCTACTTTTGCACAAAACAATGACAATAATTTTGTCATTTAACATACAGTTTTCTAACCTTTGCTATCTTTTAATATCAAAAAATTCCAAATGATATTATTTTTCATTTTAATTATATTTACTTACAAAAGTATATTGACTGACGAATATGATACATCATTGGTTCTTTGCATCAATCATTTGTTGAGTAGTAACAGATTTTAAAGCAGTAAACTATGTTTTATCTTCTTTTTTTATTTTTACTTAAAATTTTTTTTCTTCCTCTCATTTTGTTAACACAAAAAATTTCTGATATACAAAATTTACATTATAAAAAGATATATGTATGTATAGAACCTGATTTCAAATGAATTAATGATAATTAATTTTATTTGTATATATAAATTATTTATAAAAATCTAAAATATAATTAAATAACATTTAATTAATATATATAGAATTTTAAGCCTTTTCTCTGGATATTACTTCAATTGTATATTTATATATCTATAAATTTGTTATTTTGATGTAAAATTGTACATATTGGAATATGAAATATGAATTTGTTACTTCAGAATAAGAAGAGTGAATTGCATATATGATTTACAAAAATAACTATTTTATTAAAAAAATAATATATAATAATAAATATACTAATTATTTATGTAAAATTTATACGAAAAAGAATATATACATATAGAAATATAAATCATTTATTATCTATATTGCCTGTGTCTTTTTGTTTACTATTTATTTGTTATACTAAAAACGATAATCTACTTTTAATAAAATTATATTATGTATATCGTGAGAAGCTATGTATTATGAATAATGAAATATAATTAAAATGATTAAAAAAAAATAACCACTGGGCTCGTCCGGGATTTGAACCCGGGACCTCTCGCACCCTAAGCGAGAATCATACCCCTAGACCAACGAGCCGTGTTGTATATTGTACTCATTGGTAGAAATATCTTCGTAATGGCGACTCCACTGCCAAGTATTGTCATTCTTATTGTTTAATGATAATTTCTCATCATATAGTACTTTACGTGCAAGATGGCGGAACGGAGTCAACAAGATTTTAATAGGAGTGCATTGACAGTACGACGTGGGCGGGTAATTAACGTATATTATTATTAACAGACAATTGAAGTGTTCTTTTAGTGAACTTTGTTCTATATACAAACTCTTACACGTCGTTTCAATTATCTAGGCCTGGTATACGGGACAACGAGCAGAAAAGATACCCGGAGGATTAGTGGGTGTCGTTGGTAATGATTGTACGAGTTTAGATTTGTCATATAATGAACTAACCTCTATCAGCTCTGTTAAACACTTCTGCAGACTACAGGAATTGATACTCGACAATAATAAATTGCGGGACTTAAAGACGTTACCTTGTATACCAAGTTTGACCACACTCAGTATAAATAATAACAAGGTTTGTGTTATTTGTTTTTGCTACTTTTTGTGTTAGAGACAATATTTTGTTATATTAAAGTTGTCACTTATGGTATAAATACGAGTTACTTGACGATTGTATGTTGTGAGAATTATAGATTTAATGATTTTTCAGTGATCTTTTAAATATAATATTCTATTTTAGTTTTTTAGTCAGGCCAGTCAGATATTTATATGCATGGCGTTCTATGTTATCTTGTATGTACTTACATACATACTTAAGTACATAGTTAGCAAAAGTATCTACGCAATTTTGATGAATGGTAAATAATAAACGTTAATTAATGTTCTTTAAATCTCATAGAATTGCTGAAAGAAAAACTGTTATCCGTTATAAAAAAATGCTTATTATCAACAAGACTTAAAATATTGAATATAGAAAGATGTTGGAGAGTAGTTAATGTAAAAACTACTTTTTTCAAATTTTAAAGTATTGACAACATATTATATCATGTACTTAATAATCTTAATTATGTTATTCTATTTTCGAGCATTTTCGTTTACAATAAATTACGTATAAAATGTTTTATGTATAATTTGTGATACATTTGTCTATCGACAAATTTCTTATTTATTTCACTAAAATTTTATTTCGAAACATTCATCAAATACATTTCAATAGACTTTAGCATAATGTTGTGACGTGCTCGTTATCATGTATGACAACAAATTTATCTTTCAGCGCGTTCAAATGTTAATAAATTTCTATTTATAGTAATATTATGTGTGGTCAATTCGATGCTTAATTACAGGATGAACTTTTTTTTGATATTATCTTACTTTTCATTTCCAGTGTGAATTATATTTTTTTTTTACAAAAAGATAACAGTTCTGAATGAAACCTGAGAATTTATTTTGCCTAATTTATTAAATACTTTGAAGTTTTATTGGTATGTATTGAAAATATTTCTACGGAAATTACAGGAAAAGTTCAAAATATATAGCGCTTGAAAGAAACGCTTATTTTTCGAATGAAATGCAATATGATTTATGTACTTTAACAAATCAATTAATTATTTATTTGAATATGTGCTAATGTACATGTATGCAGATTCCTAACAATATCTCATCCGTTTTCCGAAAATATGCAAAAGATAAAGGTAAAATAAAATGTTTGCGTTCATTGCTGAATTAACTGTACTCACTTCGATCAGGAAACTCTTAAAGGAATAGCTTGTAACTTATTCATCCTGATTAAAATTCCGGACGTGTATCGATGATATTACTTTTGGTATCTTATGTCATCGAGAATGTTTAGTTCGATGACACTTATGCCATTCACCTTGTTGTGAATAAGTTGCGGTGATGTAATCAGGACGCATATTAACATATTTTCGTCAGCAACAGTAGTATTTTATATAAATTAGCCAATTAATTAAAAACGTTTACTATTCGTATTTAGCATTTATTTTGTATTTAGAGTCGGACATATTTATTTATCCGTTATTATTTCAAAATAGCGAGTTTAAATCTGTTTAGTTAATTATATTTAGTTAATTACATGTTTATTGATTGTTCATTATTGTATATATGTATATATATACAAAATGTTACTTCATAAAATATAAAATTATAATCACTACCTGGACAGCAATCTTATGTGTATAAAATAAAAAATTATTATACTGAAAGTAAAATCAACGTGAAAAGGTCTCTGGTCGTAAAATGCAGCAAATTTTGTACTGTGCATGCGTATCACACACAGAATGCGCTGTGCTTCATTAAATAGTTGCAAAACGGCTGATACTATCGCGTATATGGAGTTAGAGTACTTCCGTCACTTGACAAAACATCGTGAACCACATCACCCACACGAAACGTATGCTGGCCGTGTTATGTCGGCCGATTTCTGTACGAAAATTAGATGCATGTTTTATTTCCCAGCCCACTGATAAGACATTGCAATATTACGTAGTTTATAACGCTCCGAAAAAGTTAAGTTACAAGAAGGTATGTAAGGAGGCAACAGAACAAAATTCGAAAAATCGGTGCAATAGTTTCTGAGCCTACTCAGCACAGACAAATAAACGTTGCGTTGTTTCTTTATTAGGATAGTATAGATAAATAGATATAAATAAAAGAGCTACAAATTAATTTGACAACTATACTATCCTGTTACAGCTATAAATAATGCGAGTTGTGAATTTTCAGTATTATGTATTTATTGTGTGATATATTTCGCCACTGTGCTACTACACGATACAATCGTATAAGCAATAATCTGTGAGAACTGAAAATATATAGTATTGCCAAGTATAATATTTGAAGAAACTATGACTTTATATATATACATATAAAACTAATATATAAAAAATATATATTATATTTATTATTATATATATTATTATTATATTATATATATTACATAATTATGTATAATGTATACAAAATTCTATGAAACAAAATTCCGTATTTTAAATTACAAATTGCAATATATCGTGCTATGTTTTAAATAACAAAATTTTCAATATTTATATTTTTAATTTTGATGTTGAAATATTTAACATTTAGATGTTTAACAATACATTTTGAATATTATTTGCAAATTTATTTAATTGCTCTTTATAAAATATTATAATAATTTCAATGTTTATTTAAAATCATATAAATTGAATTTTGTGAATTTTAATTTAACGAATAATAAATAAGTATTCTTGAAATAATAACAATAAGTTTAGCTTTTATAAAATAAACTGAAGTCTTAATTTATAAAATTATGACATATATATTAATAAAATGTACTTATATGTTTTGTAGGATTTAATTAATTTTATACTACATGGTACCTCATTTAAACATAAATTAAATATTAAATTAGATAGTATGTAATTCTACATGAATATTGACAATTTTTTACTAAACTAATTATACGATTTATTTCGATCGTTAATTAAATATTGCTAAACCTATTTGTGCGTATTGTCCGTATTTCGTTCATGCAACTTGCATTCCATCTAAGATATTATTAAAATATAAATGTTATTTGTAATATTGTTTATTTGAATATCTATATTCTGATATCTATATGACATATATTAATCAAATATTTTACGTTTCTGTACAATCTTTTAATTATATGTACTTATCTTTTCTATCCAATTTATTTGAGTACTGAAACTTCACATTCCTATCATCATACGATTTGGTTTGATTATTGTGAAAAATTTTTTAGATAACAGACATAGACCACGCGTTGAGAAGGATACAGGAATGTTGTCCAAATGTGGTGTATGTAAGCCTGCTTGGCAATCCAGGATGTCCCGATCAGTTGACTAATCCAACGTCAACCGACGACGAGGATTATAATCGTTACAGGCTGTACGCGATATACGTATTACCTTCGACTCTTCGCTTTCTTGATTCACGTCCCGTAACGCGACATGAACGAAACGATGCCGAAAGACGAGGTAAATTCTCAAGGACTGTGAAATTGGCCCCAGAATTGTCACCGAAATTCTTTCCGAATGCGATGGAAGAGTTAGACGATATCTTCTTCAATGTTCATTATACGCCTTTGCCAAGGTCAATTCGCGATCCTCTTGATCACAAAGGTACGATTTTTATATGGTATATTTTATTATTTTTTAAGCATTTCCTTTTGTAAGAGAATTATTCCAATGAAGTTCAATATGTAATGATATTTCATGAAGAAATGATTCACTCAATAAAGAAATGGAGTAAAATATTTATTATATAAAAACTAACAATGCGTAGAACTGATTTAATCTTAACACTAGAGATAAATGTATTTATCCTGTTAAATCTCAAGTAAGTGTTTGAACGTACTTCTATTATTAGTAAATGTGTTATGAAAATGCTGATTAGGAAATCAAGTCTAAAGTGTATATAATGTATGTGCGTAAAATTGTATAAACAAAATTATATTTAGAGTATTTTATAAGTAAAATATTTACTTTATCTATCATTTATACTTCAATTTTAATTTTTATTTCAATTTCAGTTTTAATTCTTCGATAAAACATTATCTTTTAAATACCTAGTTTCTTTTACGAAATGTTAGATGCAGTATCATTATTCAGTCTCAGTCTATTTACGTTATCTAAGAGTAAATTAAAATATTTCTGCAAACTTGTTTCAACAAGAATATTTTTGTTTCAGGAGCATTTGGAAAGTGTAAATACCGTTACTCAGGAAAAAATTCGGAAGGAAATCGGTTTATTTCAAATAACGATCTTTGAATTCCCATTTAGTAAGTCAAACTAACTTTTGAATGTAAGTTATGATAATTTTTTTCCAATTAATGATAAAAACAGCGATCAGGCTCATAGAGACGTACTGAATGAAATGATGCACAATTTTTTTATCTTCTCGATATTTTTTCTTCTTTATTACCAAAAAAACTCATCTACGTGCCTGAAATCGCGTTCGTACGCATTTATCTGCTAGATGTTAATTTTTTATATAAATAAATAAATATATATATATATACACCTCGAATAAAATATAAATTCACCATGAGTAAACATACAAAATTTTATTATCATGTACACTGGTATAAATAAATGTCCAAATTAGTATCTCTGTTCCTTTCCAATTGATCGAACGATTCGATCCGAGTGTTACGTGACACAGTCTCGAACGGAAATAGAAAACGTGCACGTGTCATGAATTCCAACACTTCGGTTCTTTCTTCCTGCTCATTGACTTTATTATCATAATTTAATATTATTGGTCCTTAAACGTACACAACATAGTCTTGCAACAATACTTTCTATGCGCAACAAATTGGGTTTTTTTCTGACAAACAGCGAACAAATACAGCTCATCCAGCTGACACCCTCGTTTTTATAGGTATATTGACGAATTTTCATACTCGGTTCCTTGACACGTGTTTAGGAGAGAACTTACGTCGAAGGCAGTTTAAAATAGTCTCAATTGTTAACCCTGTATTTAGGAAGAACCTTACGGATAGGTACTTAAACGATCCATGTTACGCTCTATAATTGCCTATATGCAATAAACCGGAAACTCGGCATTGTAATAATTAATTAAGTACGATTACGTCAGCCTTTCGGTTCATTCCGGATGCAATTAGTATTAAAAGGAAGTATACGCGTACCAGTGTTTCTTACATGTTTCGTATTATCATAAGCGTTCTCTATTGGCATACGCTTCTTTTTTTTTTGAAACACTGATTTTTTTTTATTCTATTTAAGATTTTCATCTGTTGCCGAACAACTGATCAAAAGCCCCATGGCTTATTGTATATTGTGTAATCGTACGTGACTGTATAAATATAACATTTATATGATTACATATATTTCTATAGAATGGGAACCGGCCATATTTAATTCCTTAAATACACCGTTCCATCGGTCTGGCAATGCTCAGCGTGAGAAATCGTTTCAAGTATTGTACACACTGGAAGCATCTTTCTCTCCAAGAAAGGAAAGTGTCTACAATGCAAGCCACGTTCCAAACGCTAAAACTTTTTATTCTTCAATTAATGTCAAGTAAAATATATTTTATAAAATATATATATCGTTTGTGTTTTTTCTTTTCGTTCGCTGAAGGATAGAATTATTAAAATTTCATTCTATTGCTGCGATCGACGAGCCATTTTCCAAGAATGTGCACGTTTGGAACGAGGCCTTACTTACTCAAGTTTTACTTCCTACTTTCGATAATATGCTTGGCCACGAAGGATACTCATGTATGATAAATATTCAATAGTCATCACGCCTCGCGATTGGACGGATGGCCGCGATTAAAAAATTTTATTCCGCTATCATCAAAAAAGTTCTTATTCGAAGAGAAGAACGAGACACGCCTTTTCACAATATTGCACGAATTTTGCACGTCGATATATCGATGTGGACCACCTCGCTAGAATTTGCTTTACTCTGTAAGAATGGATATTACAAAAACAAAATGGGAGATTAAAAAGTGACAGGTGATAACGAAGAAAGGTAATGAAAGCGACTAAACAAAAAAGGAAACGAAAGTAACGAAAACGTACAAGAAGGATACAGTGGTACAAAGAAAAATTACTCGAAGAAAATTGTATAAAGTATGATCTTTCATATCTACAGCAATCTAAACAAAAGAGAAACATAGTTCGAAACAATACCTACAAAGTAACATATCAAAAGCAAACGAAAACTGCGAAGTGAAATTCTAATTATCGCGCAGCTACGAACATTTACAAATTAGACTGGAGTAGTGGTAAGTACTAATTTTAGAACCAAGATTAGATTACTTGGAACTTGTTCGCATATGTCCAGAGCTAGTACCTCTTGACGACCACATGTGGTATTGTGTCCCGCAGAATTTAGAGTCTAAATTATAGACTGTGCCCTGTGAAGAGAATGCAACGCGTCCGCATTGGCCTTAAAGGCACTGATTATTTTTTCTTTTTCTTTTTTTTTTCGAAAGTTGTTTTGAAACTAATCGATGTGTAGTGTGCTTGCACTACCACGTATATACATGATACGTATATATTTAAGTTCAACTAGGCCGAAGCGTTTCGAGCTTCCTTGAGATGGAGACCCATAAGGTCCGCGAACGAACATGTCACTTAAGTACAAAAGAAATCACTAAGAGGGCACGACATGCTTAGGAGTTGCTGTTTTTCCCGTGATTATGCAAGTTTGGCCTCAAGGTCACGGCTCCCTCGACCCAGAAGTTAGGCCTTTCAAGCATGCTCTGCCAAAGCGACAGCTCTCGACCGGTTGCATCCATCCAGTCAACTGGTTTTCCATAGTGTTTTCCTGGAAAGATTAATTTCTTTTATATATCAATTTCTTAATTAATTTCTTTAACTACCTCTATAACTATTCAAATTGAAAAATTTATATGTATAATCGTGCAGTGTTATATTCTCATTAATGAAGAATAAGATATATTTTAAATATTGTTGGCTCTCACAAGTACGTGGAATCGATTTATTTAATAAATACTTTTTATTTAACTACGATTTATTTAATAGTGTAAAGTCCTGATAATCTAATACTGCAAATTCTTTATATGATCCCTTATAAAATTTGTATAAGAAGTCTGTATAAAAATCATAAGAAAAATGTTGTGATATTCTGTGTGTCTTTATAATATCTTAAAATATAGTATTAGTAATAGTATGTGTATATTGTATAATATGTATAATATGTATTAATAATCAATTTTGGAATATTAGATACGAACATGAAATATTATATTTGTCTTATATCAATGATTATTACGTATTAACTAAACAGCGAACTAACTAACTTTAGTATACATGTACATAGATTTTAAAACATGTTAAAAATTGAAATGTGTTCAGAATGCAAATTGTGTGTTTCGTTTATAAAAAAAAGTCATAGTGTTGAAAATTACATTTTAAATAGAAAAAAGAGATGGAAGATTAATATGCTTCTCATAGCATGACATAATGTACATATGAGTCATAATATATGAATCATAATAATTTATGATCGTTTTCATTATGCTATAGAACGATATATAAAGTAAAAATCTACAGTAGAATCAGAAGTATTTAGGGTGATATGTATAACATTATAAATTACTTAAAAATTGTTACATGAAAATATCTTTTCAATCAAAATTGCATGTTATGAATATACTTTTTAATATAGATTATCTTGAAGTTTTATAAATGAAATGTTTATTATTCCATTATATTCTCGAAAAAGGGGTGAATAACTAATTATTATATCATACGGTTCAAAAAACACTAACTTTCAAGATAGTCTCCAAATAATTTCTAATAAATTATATAATAAGTTTCTTAAATACTAAAATTATAGTAAAACGTAAAGTATAAGAGTACTTTGAGCTGTGGTGATATGTACCTGTGCCAAGGTTGAATCGAACTCCGCCTAGAAATTCGTTGCTAGCAATACGATCATGGTCCCAGACTGTCAATTCCAGTCCACGTTCTGCTAGTTCTTGTAGACTAACATCTTTATAAATGAAAGTATGACCCCATACTGGTGAACCACCAGATCTGCGAACTACTCCAGTCTTTTGTTTCCCTGAACGTCCCTTGTCAGGCAATAAATAACTGAAAGTATTTATAATAATAATGAACATGTAGCTTTTTCTGCCTTAAATACGTTACACGATTTTTTGTAAAGATAGGCGAATTTACTGATTTTTGGCCAACATAATATCATTATCTATTAATTTGGTTAATTTATATCAATTTTTACTGCTAGGTGATGACTATCAAAACTTAGGGGAATTATTGACGTATATAAACAAAATTAATTGTGGACTGTAATTTATAATTGCCATTTATTTTATTAAAAAATATTAATTTGTTTCGTTTCTTTTGATACATTTTTTAATGATATATATATATTCATTATCATTGGAGGTCTGAAGCTATTTTTTTGTATACTTTTCGAAATATTGGAAATATTTACTTACTGTTAATGACGTTTGTAATATAGAAATAAAAAGTTTATATGTATAAACCATAGAAAGAAAACTTAATGTAGGAATAAATATATTTAAGAGCTTGAAATTGTAAGTTATAAAAATCAAGATACTATATATACCTTCTAGTTTATAGAAATATATCTAGTTTAGTGAAATATATAGTTGACGTTCTTTTTAGTTCTTTACTATCCTTTTTCAAAATTAGATGAAATTAAGTGTGAACACTTAACACTTGTAATTAAGTGTAATTACTAATTAAGTGTAAACACTTTCATTTAAAAATGAAATTAGAAGTAAACTGTACATTGATATTTTGTTAATAATTATGGTATACCTTTTACAAAACGGATCACATGTTCCTGAATTCTTTGCTCTGGTTTGTAAATTTCTTGCTTCCTTTACAAGCACGTGTAATGCACCGCGACTCCAATTCTTCTTCGATTTAGAAGCACTACGATCTGTTCCTATTTCTCGATCTCGTTCTAGTTGTGTAGGATCTGGTGGTACGAACTTTAGACCGACGATTACCTCACCTTTGTATGCAACAGGGTCGTCGAATGGTTCTGTCTAAAATTTATAATTACAATGAGTATTGAATACATAATTATTGAGAAACATATTTTTATTGTTTAAAATCATTCGAATCGTATCAAGAAATTTTGACAGGAAGAACGATGCAATTCTTTTGTGTAATACTTCTATATGTATTGTTTTGTAGGGGATGTTTCGCTTATTTTATCGATAGAAAAGATGTCTGATTCGTGATTTTCGTTTCTAAGCTCTCAAGTTTATCGACATATTTTATACGGGATTAGATATTCTGATATATTTCGATCGACGTGTCTGTTTACTCTCAATAAAAAAGTATTAAGACTCTTGTGTTTAAGAACGATCAGTATAAAAGATATTTTAGCTTTAATTTTATAAAACTTATCGTATGAAAGACAAGGGAAACATAAACACAGGAATAATGCTCTGTATGTTTTATTGTCTCTCGTACGATAAGTAATGATTATGGAGTAATTAAAGATCAAGACGATAATAAAATAAAGCAAGCAATATGTTTTAAATAGATTTTAATAATAGTAATATTTCAAGTATTCTCAAATTTTAAGAATAATTCTTCTTATTTTAAGGCACGAATAATTAAAAAGAAGTGAATGACTAATTAAAGTAAATATGCAAAGTTTAATACTAATTATTCGATAAAAAAATTATATGCTGCAATACTATATAGTGATAAAAATTGGAGATTTCTAGCAAAGATTCTAGTTCTTGCACATGCAAATACATCATAAAATTGTGTAGTTAGAAGTTAGTTTGCAAGAATATCATGTATTTCCATAGAAATGCTTTCTTCCTTCATGCTATCGTTCGAATTTGAATTTTCTGCATGTAAACGAATAGCCGAATACGAATAATTTGCCAGGTAGTATAATAACTCGTGCAATATTGCATTCTTACCGCGAAGTGTGTCAATTAGCTTTATTAACGCAAATAAAAACAAATAAAAAGAGGCTCTAATTACATACTGGAGAATAATTGAGTCAGTACGAAGACTTACTTTCCCCGGCCCATTCTCGCCGCGCTTTTATATCTAGAATGATCTGTATTGTGTAAAATTGTGCGCATTGTGTAAAATTACTGAAAAAGAGATACAATGCGAATCAAGAAATTCGACTAATTAATAAATCTTAAATCGAAGACGAGTTTTGTTTCTATTAGTGGAATAAAAGCTGCAATAGTAGTTCAAGATAGAACTACGAAAACGAAATTAAAGTAGGCTAAGATTATCAACAAATTTTGGGAAATTGGGAAATATTATCTTTATTCAGTTATTTACTAGAAATAAAAAATTCTTTCAAGAAATATGCAATTAGTAAATATTTATTAATTATTATTAAAATTGATTTTTCTATCTACCATGTGATATAGAGGAGAAGCATGAATAGTTAATTTACAATAGATATTAGATGATTTAAGCTAAATGCATTTCACGATAATTAATAGTCAGATATTTTATTTGTTTCTTTTTTCATCTCCCTTATCCCTAAAGTCTAAACATGTCGATATTTAATAATAATAGATTTCTCGTTAGTCGCCTTGTATCTCTTCCAGCAATAATAAAACATTTCGTACATTTATGCTTGGTAACGTACTTGTGCTGGACAAGCTGTCGTACACTTACTCGTTCCTGAAGCGGATACCATTTCGGTGTGGGATCGTCGAAGATCTTGTTCTCCAGGGGCATTCGAACCTCGCCAAGGAAATCGTTGCGTCCAAACATGTCTGAATGCCAAACTGTCAGCCACAGGGTTCTGGTTTCTAGGCCGCTCAGACTCATATGGAACTGAAATGTCGTGGTGACGAACCATCCAAGCTCTAACTTTCATGCAGGAACAACGGAGCAACAGGCAAAACATTTGTGCTCAAGACTGGTCTCAAATGATAAAGCTTACCTTCAATGTTTCGTTAAACTCGGGATTCAACGTGTGTTTCTTCACCTTAGTTTTCCGTTTGCCGCTCTTTGACTTGTCCGGCAATAGGTATACTTTCACGTATCTGTTGAAGTGGATTGTATCAAAGAAGAATGTAATTTTATAGGAAATTGTTGGTTCTCGATGTACATAAAGTGTATATTAGGATCGTTTGTATTTAAATTATTATGTTCGTTGAAAGATAATTTTTATAGCAATAGAGATATAAATT